TGACTTGTGTTATGAGATACCCGAATTGAAGGTATTCTGGGTTTGGGTGTCATTTGGTTGCTCCCTGTGAGGAATGTTTCTGAGTTGAGGCAGAGTTTTACCAATCTACTTCCTCGTGTACATCAAATGTCATGAGGTTGTTGTTCTGTGCTGGCTGAGTTTTTGAGTTTGGAATGGAAATGTTTAGAGCTGTTGTGAGAAAGATGTCAAACCACATGTCCTGACATCTTGACTGGAGACTGACTCCATGTTGCTATGTTGTTGTGTTCAGTAGTTACTGAAGACTACTGCTGAAGGATTGTAATTTTTGTTTATTGATGTAATCTGGATTGTAATTTATGTTATTTATTTTAGCCAAAATTTTCTAAAGGGGGCGATTGTTAGTTCTCTATTTTTAGGATTGACATTAATTTTAGTAAAACAAATAAGCAGCAATATGTTAAATAGGATGTGATTACTTGCTATGAAGAATAGGTTGAGCAAGAAGTCTTATTTTATGAAGAACATGTTGAGTTAAAATGTTTCAATATTTGGAGCAACATGTATGATAAGATGTCCTATGCAGGGACATACGGTATTGCGCCTGAGTTGAGCTGGACAGTTGGATTCTGTTATGTTTTAACAGATGCATAATATTCTGGGAATATTATGCAATCCTATGTGGCACTGAATCGTAGGTCTGGAAAATTCAATCAGAATTCAAGAGGAAAATATACTTTCTAAATAAGGAGACTTTTTAGGAAAGATTTGATTGAAGACCTATTTTATTGCAGAATCTCCTACAAATATGTAATAGCTAATATGATGTGATATGAAGCTCGAATCCAATTGGGGAACCTGTTATAAATAGAAGTGTTTGTAACCTAGGAAAGGCACCAGCCGTGAATGAAAATGTAATACTATTAGGGATGAGTTTGTACCAGTCTCTAGGAGAGTTGGTTGTGTATTCCACTCAGTTGTGAGTTGGACTAATGTTATAGAGTTGTAGTCTCTATTATTGTTCTCCTTGAAGCTGTGAAGCAAGAGTGAGTATTGTTCTTGGAGGAAGATTTTAAGTAACTCCAAGTTATTGTTCTTATTCAAGAGTCTTGGCTAGGTATTGTTTTAGAAGTGAGTCTTCTAATATTGTCATGGAAGTGTGTCTTCGGGTTTTTCGTCATGGAAGTGTGTCTTCCTGTCTGTGATTGATGAGAGAGTTGAGGAGGGTCTCATATCTAGGTGAGTCTTAGATAGAAAGTTAGCATGGGTAGTGATTAAGTGAGAAGTTGTAAACTTGAGACTAGTTTAGCTTCGAAAAGATACTATTATAGTGGACTTTATCCCTGATTTGGTATGCCCCCAGAGTAGGAGAGTTGCTCTAAGTGGGTTAACAATTTTGGTGTGTTGTTTATGCTTTTCAGTACTGCTTTGTATGTTTATACCTTGTCATGTTGTTTTAGTCAAATCATATGTCTCAACATCCTATAGGACATCTGAAGTCTGACATACCATAATTTCAAAAAGGCGACTAGGGCCATTATTCAGACATCTAGAATTACTTAACCTAGAAGAAATCAATCTCTCTAGTCGAAGGGGTGGTGTGCCTAGCGAAAAACCTGATCCACATCTATAAATAGAGGTCTCTAGTACATTTCAGATGAAGTTTCAATAGAGTGAGATAGTACATAATTGGAGTAAGTTCACTTAGTCTACAACAGAAAAATGAGAGAAGGAGATTGAAGGAGAAAACGCTGCTCAAATGACATGGAAGATAAACTTTCAAGCTTGTCTTTAGGGGATGACTAGTACAACTACAATGAGTAAGCGTAGCTAAAAATATATTTTTTGGAAGTTAGATGTAGTCATTATATTAATGTATTAAATATGTCATAACGTTTTATTTAAGTCTACTAAAGCTTTAATGTTGATGACTTTTTAATCTTAATGTCTATTTTAGTTTTGCTACCTAAAATTTATTTTCATGGTGTGACTTGACATTTGAAAGGTGCTTGTCATTACTAGATCCAAGATTATCATATATTAGATATTAAAATATTAAAATAGAGTTAGATTCAATATCCACACATACTATAGTATGATCGATGTGGAATCTTGATGCTTTATAGCTGTTTAAACTTAATGTTTTGTGTTGGTTAATATACCGAGATATCGACTATTAGGTAATGCAGTAATCTCCCAACATTGAGATTGCGGGAGATACAAATGAAAGCAACAAGTAGTAATATTAATAATTCATTAGAGGAGCATATTGTTGAATATGGTTTATACATGATAAATACGTAATTACGAAATCTATCCCTAACAAGTTTTCTTAATGTTTACATCGAAATCTCCATTTTATTTTCTGTCATTTATTTTATGTTATTTATTTTCACTCATCAAAGCAACTATAAAACCTTTTTCTACTTAAAATCTTAGGAAATGTTGAACGGTCTTTGAAAACTATTCGTCTATATATATATGATAATTATAAATCTTATTTTTATGCTCACAACACAACACCTCTTTAGTTGGAGTCCTTATTGATACCCTGAATAATGAACGTTCAATTTTATTTAGAGAAATGTAACAATATAGATGTTTCAATACCACCCACGAATCAACTTTCTCAAAGCACTAACTCAATCTTCAATTCATATACTTAAGCACATGCAATAAAAGTGTCTCAGAAATATATTAGTAGTATCATACTAAAATCTTGAAATTTTGGACTCCCATTTGTTCCAGGTATATAACATTTGCATTTTGACCTAATAAAAATAAGCATGAGCATAAACTTATGAAGGACGGCTCACTTCAGCTTCATGATGTGATAAGTGGTTCAAGTTGTTCTAGTTTAAGTATAAGGATATTTCTTTCTCATCCACCACTTAAGAGATGAAAACAATATTCTTTCCTTGTGATTGTGATCCCTCCCATTTGATAATGTAGTAGAAGAACTGTCCTGACACCTCCATATATTTTTAATATTTTTTTTGGAAAAAAAAACTTGATTAACCAAAAAAAATAGGGGATTATACGATGATCGCTAGGATCCAATCAATAAAACGACCAAAATAACTCAAGAAAACAAAACCTAGACTAACATTAAACTAATAATTTTAAGCTTAAGCTTTTTACAAAACCAACCCCTAAAAATAATCTTGTTTTTAATCTCTAGGAGAGTAACTTCCCTATCCACCTTAGCACCAAACATAATGGAGTTCCTGTAGTTTCAGACTCCATAGACAGTCTCAACTGGAGCAAGTTTCAACAAGGTTGCTTTCAAATCTTTACCCTTATCTTGTGTAAAAATCCACTGAAGCTCCTCATCCCGGTTTTTAGGAGAATGAGAATGATGGATCCAACACAAGATACTACTCCAAATATAGTTCAATTCTTCACACTCAAACATAAGATGCATAATAGTTTTCTCCTTTCTGCAGAATATACAACTCTTATTATCAACCATACCAAACTTGAATAATCTGCTTTTTGTTGCTAATCTTTGATGACAGGCAAACCAGAAAATCAACAAGGATCTAGTCCTGGCAGGATTGTTTCTCAGCAGTTTATACCATCTCACTTTAGTCAAATTACACATAGATAGATACATTGTTTTCATACTAAACATTTGCTTGATATTCATGTCTCCCCACAAGTCAACATTACTATCAATAAAGTCCCTTTGCTCCAAAATCTTCCTCATAATCCAAATACTAGTTTCTTTTACCTTTACCTCCCTAACAGTCTGATCCTTTAAGTAGTAAAAGTTCACTCACTTAACCCACAAACTATCCCTTTTGATGCATATGTTCCAGAGGAGCTTCAGTAAAGACCATTTATTCTAAATCTCTAAATCAATGAGGCCTAGACCTCTTTGTTTAACAGGTTTACACACATTAAACCAGACAACTGGACTTTTTCTACTAATAGAATCCTTCCCTGTCCATAGAAAGGACCTACAAATGGAGTCAATCTTCCTAATGACACCTTTAGGCATAAGGAAAACCATTAACCAGTAGTTATCCATTGCAAAAGATATACTCTTAATCAATTGAGCTCTCCCTACATAACTCAAAAGCTTAGCAGACCGGTGATTAATTCTAGAGATAATATTATCAACCAGGGTCATATAATGACTAACAACCAGCTTTTTATAAGTGAGGGGAACCCCCAAATATTTGAAAGGTAAACTACCTTCTTTAAAACCAGACTGACTCATAATTAGATTCATGTTGCTTTTGTATAAATTTAATTAAAAAATCCAGACAAAATATCTAGTAGACCAAATTGAAAAATCTGGTACATAACAACAAATTCGGTATTGTATATGAAAATTTTGATATGTTAAGGAAATTATTGGTTTTTTAATGTTCATATGTTTAGCGAATTTTTTTGCTTAAAATAAAAAATCTAGTTATTTGCTTAGTACCAAAATTTCGAAAACATTCATAACTTATCGGATTTTCGTTCATCAGTGAAAAATCCAGTAGTTTTAAAAGAGTGAAAATTGAAAGATTGAGATTTTGCCGACAATTTTGTAGACTGTGATTATACCATTCGTTTTGTATGGTCCAAAATGAATTCAAAGTTATATAAATAGGGGTCATGTGTCATTAAGAAAAACATCTTACAATGCCTCTGTTTGAGTTTAAGGCAAAAGTGTACTTCAACGGGGGTAAAACCTCTTGTAGAGTTTTGGCTCCCGGAAGGCACCACATGTCATATCGTTCTAATATTCAAGTTGAATAATATGTTGCCCAAAATAAAAGCCTTATTATATACTCCATAACACCTCCCCGGTGTGCATCCCTGACCCTCCATCTCTTGGTCTGTGGGGACTCAACAATGATAGTAACAACCATCATATCACAAATGGACGAGAAATGCTCGTCATCTCACCAAATGGAAGATGGAAGGAAGATTTCTCCTTGTGTCATCTCTTAACAAAGGTTGTCAATAGATTACCACCAAGTATGGTCAACGAATAGTCCACTAGTGGAAGGAGACCGCGATCCTCAACAATCGCCTTCACCTCCTTTAGCATCTTGACATGTGAGAACTTCTTCAGCTTCATCCAATGGGTGGATACCTTCATCAGAACTCGGTCCTATAACAAACAAAGTAAAATTTATCTGTTAATTAAAAATTATCAATAATAAATACAGTCACATCATCAGCATATCATATACATATGTCTCCCTCCTATAATCTAAATGCCACGTGATCTGCATATCCAGTGAGCACAGAACTGTCACTGAGCTCACCAGGAAACCCATCATCTATATGTACAAACAACTCCTTTGAAGCCAGAGCAATGACCTTTGTGTCAACAAGAGGAGTAACATCTATATCATCCGCAGTAGGCTCCTCAATAGTCATTTTTGGAGTAACCTCTATAGTAGTCGGAGCCTCTGAATTATAAGGACGGGGCCATATTTAGTCTCTAAAGGATGGGGCGCCTCTGTCGTCTCTAAAGGATGGGCCACCTATGTCTCTACATCCATATCCATATCATCATGAATCGCTTCCTGAACATAAATTGGCATATCCTCATCATCTCTCGTCCATTCAGAAGAAAATATATATCCTATACGTCGGGTAATGCAGGATGCACGAATCTGAATCTGATTGGCCAGCCGACTCTTGTGAGAACCGATCGGGGCTACTCTCTTCGCTCGGAGATGTGAGTCATCTACGTCACCTCACCTCTCTTGAGCCCTTACACCAGAAATCCTACGCTTCTGACCAACAATCGTGCCATCAAATCCGTTAGTCTTTTTTGAAAAATCCGATACCACAATGCATGTTTCTGGATTTTTCAAAAAATCCGATAAAAATGTATGCAGTTTTACCAATTTTTTTTTAAAATCTAACAAATTGTATGCATTTTTTCGAATATTCCAAAAAATCGGGTAGAACGTATGCATTTTTACCAGTTATTTCAAAAAACCGATAAAAATATATAGGTTCTACCGGATATTTAAAAAAATGGTAAAAATTCATGCAAAATATGTAACTTTATCGGGTATTTCGAATAATGCGGTAAAAATACATGCAACATATGTGATTTTACAATATATTTTTAAAAATGCGATATAAATAAATGAATAATCTGATATTAATGTAAAAATATGGTAAAAATGCAAACTTACTGCTCATAAAATTGAAATGTCTAGTAACTTAGTTGAAATATTCAAAAAATGCCATTTATTTTGAAAAATTCGAAATTGTACTATATTTTTGTGAAATATCCTTTTAAAATTGTGCAGAGCTAAAATGATAATTGCATAGAGGATATAGGAGTGGTAGGTGTAAATGGAGGGTGTTGTACCCCAAAATTTGTCCTCTCATTTCTCAAAGGATCAACCTGGACCCTCAGATTTGCTTCCATCCAATTTCAAGCCCTGAATTACAAATTTTCCAAGAAAGCCATTCACAAAGGGAAAAATGGTCATTTTCACACTAAAAAGTCAAACTTTGACTTTTGGATCAAAATCAAGCTTTAAGAATCATATTTCATCAAGACACGTTTAAATATGAAGTTTGTTTCATCAAGAAATTCAAAAGTCAAAATTCTAAATACTTAGAATTTTTCTAAGTGTTTAAGAAATATGACAAGCTCGGAACTTCTGATCAGATTATCGCCATGATACAAGCTGATTTTTGAAGAACTTCTGGCACAAAAGTTATAGATTTCAATAAAATCTAAAACATTGCAGAATAAAACTTCTCCTGCAAATGCTGGAATTTCAAGTTATAAATGTTCAAAGACACGTCCATGAAACTAAAGCACTCAGCAAATTCTGGATACTTTTAAGACAGGGTTGGGTCAGAACTTTTGGGCCAGTTTTCATAAAGGTTTAGTCAGAGTTTGCAAGGGTAATTCAAAGAAGGTTATAAAGCGTGCTACAAGCTTCCTGGAAAGTCTGAGAGTTCTTTCAGAACATGCTGGAGCAAAGAGATACAAGGATCAGAAGTTGAATGCTTATTCTAAATTATGCTGAAACTGAACCTTTGACCCAGAATTAAGCAATGATGCAAAATATCACATTGCATGATTTCTGGTTTGATAAATCTTATTATCATTTAATGCTCACAACTACTTTTGAGTCTTTATCCAAAGGATTTCTCCACGTGTGGCATAGAAGTACCATTGCTCTCCTTGAAAAGCAGATTTTATACAAAGTTTATGCTGGGCCCATGCTTCGCTGTTGTTTCTGAGGGTACTTTTCCTTAATTCATGCTTAAAAATCCAGCTTAGGCATGGCTAAAAGCTGTTAACCACCTTACTTTGTGCCTTGAACCATACTTGTTTGAACTTGCTTCAAGAACACGTCAGCGCCTAGCATATGATGGATATACTTTTGATTTCTCCAAGCTATAAGATTTTTGCCTATAAATTGAGAGCCATTGGCAACGGTAAAGGGGTCGAAAAATTGAGAAAGAAAAAGCCTTGAACCCCTGCTAAAATTCCAAGAGTCCAAAGTTGCAACACAAAATACAAAACTTGTTAACTTTTGATTTCTTGCATTCAAACTCCATCTGTTCTCAAGTGTTTCTTGACTAAAACCATCCACATAGTTTCTGATTCACATATTAGAAGTTATCCTAACTTCTGTGTTCATACTGCAATACACTCTACATCCACCTCCATCTCAAAGAAGTCAAAACATTACCCCTTGGCTATTCCAGAAGTTGAAAACTTCCAGCCTACTGAGCACGTGAAGAAGCTTCTCAGAACATCAACAGAGTTCAGGACTAAACTCCAGTTCACAGAGTCTTTTCCAGCTGCAAGGTAAGCTTCTGCTGACTCTCATCATATTACTTATGCATTATTAAATTTGCATGTTTAAAAAAATACAATGTAGATATCATGTTTTTGAGGCTGTACGTATCCTGAGGTTTCACGTATTTGTATGCCTAAGTAGGGAGTAAATTAGTTCAGAACTTCTTAAGGAAATTAGAATTAGCATATTCATGCTTGCCTCTGATTTATAGTTCTGATACTTCTTGTTTCTGAAACACTAAAACCAGCCATAACTGTTATATGCGCATCTTCTGTTCTATTGAGAAATAACTAAGTTGTAGATGTTCTGACTAGCATGGTGAGGGAGACCAAGTTGTGTCAGTGGTATCAGAACTTATGAAATCTTCCTAGCTCCCAGCGGACCCAAAACTTCTGACTTTACCTATTTTTACTAATATGATCTCTGTTTTGCAGCACGCCAGAGTCAGAACTTCTGATCTCCTTTAGTCAGCAATACGCTAATTCTATTTTCTTTTTCCTCACTATTTTTTCTATCACTTCTTATTTCATTAATAAAAAAAACTAAAAACATTTTACATTTTACATGCTTTATTTTATTTCTTAAAATAAAAAGATCAAAAATATTTTCTTAAACAAAACTTATCTCTTTTCTGAAACAAAACAAGTCCATTTCACATTTTCTTGTACATTCTTATCCATTCAATATGATTGTAATAGTAACTTAGGACTTAATTTTATTTGCAATCCCCATTTGTAAATTTGTACACCCCATCCTCCAAATGATTGTAATAGCGTAGAATCTTTATTTTTTGCACTTTTTATTGCTTTCATATATTGTTAGTAATTAGGGTGTGTATGGCAAGACATGAAATTGACAAGTAGATAACCCTAATCAAGACTAAAAATGCATGCAATCAAACACACTTGCACACTAGCACCCTTAGGATAATCCCACCTTGTTGCCTATCAGAAATATAGTCATGTCCCTCGAACATGGGAGTTTTAGCAAAAGACCCTCGATTAAAGATTGTAGTCCCTCGATGACCCTTGATGTTGCCTTCGGTAAACGATCTAGTCCCTAAAAATAAAAATTGCTAAAAAGTACCATGGGTTGCCTTCTATGACTATACAAAAACGTCCCGCGCCCGTCCCTTCACATCGAACGATGGGGCTTCTTACCAAAACAATGGTAAAGATAGCAACATCTAAAGGAGGAGAAAAAGAACACCTAAGACCTTTTGAGTAGGTAGATTTGCTCCTAGTTGCTTGCTTGCTCACAACAAAAACATTCAATACACCAACACTCTCACTTTGAAACATTTACAAAAGATAATACTTTGTATGCGTTCTTATAGAGACGAGAATTATTATAAAGACACGTTTTCAAAATCACTTTCAAAAACACATCCCACAAACACTTTTTTGAAACATTTTTGAAACAAACACTTTGTATGCGTTCTTATAGAAACGAGAATCATTACAAAGTTACATTTTCAAAATACTTTCAAAACTCACATCACAAGCACATTCAAACAAAAGCAAGTGATCTAGCAAGTAACTAAGAGCACATGGAAAACCATGGATGAAAAGGGTGCTAATACCTTCCCTTTTCATAATTTACCCCCCGAACTCAAGAAAACATCTCTAAAGGTCTTTCCTATGCTTTTTGACCTTTCCTTATTGGATAAAATACAAGTAGGTGGTGACTCTTGCTAACCGCAACATTTGCGATCAAACGCAAAACACCCAAGTCAGTTTTCCCACCGTATTACAGAACTGGCGACTCTGCTGGGGAAAAATTCTAAAGGAGGGGTCACCTTAGGGATAGATCACATTTATTTGCTTACATTTTTTGACTTGTATGCTTTACATTATTGTTCTTTGTTTGGGTTTGAATCTTCTACCCGGATTTGGGATACATTATTGGTAAGTAGAAATACGTTGGGGAAACTGTGTGGGGTATACCGACATGGTCTAAGCAATAGCTACGTTATTGCGACATATTTATGGGTACCGATAGCCTTTGAGTTAATCAAAGAGAATACGGGTCCACTGAGTGATGTCATGAAGCACTAATGAACTTTTAGAACCTTTACTTGACCAACTGGGCCTTTAGGATGTAGTGAGATGACCGGCTTTGGTGCAATCTGAAGTTGGTAGATACTCGATACTGCACTCATTGAGGTTTGGTTTCTTGGGATATTTCGGTCGCCATTAAAGAGGCTTGAGCTGAAAGAATGACCAAGGAAACAATTCGGTGATATTAATCTCCTTAGAACCCGATTACTATTACTAGGACAGGTTTGAGCCAACTAAACTTCAAGAGGGTACTTACCTATGAGACTCCATGCAAGCCTAAACCTAGGAACTTGTTTGTTTTGTTTGTATATACATACTTTTACATAACATCATGAACATCATGAAAATCATATACATCCACTAACCTTTTGAAGGATTTTGGGATTCATCTTTGTTCTTGTTTTGTAGGATATGGATTCACTTCGCATGAAAACTATTCCAAGTCAACCTTGTAAGGATCCCTCCACAACTTAAGGAGCTAGCTTCAAGAATTCTTGAAAACTCTCCATTTACCGAGAGACATGGTCGCCTA